TTACGTCTCATGTCTACAAACGTAGCAGGATTTCTGGCTTTTGCAAAACGTATCACCATGTGTTGTTTATTTTTAAGTCTCATGTCTACAAACGTAGCAGGATTTCTGGCTTTTGCAAAACGTATCACCATGTGTTGTTTATTCTTAAGTCTCATGTCTACAAACGTAGCAGGATTTCTATTGCAACTGAACTGGGCCTCACCTATCAGGACATGCAATTGGCCCTCAATCATTGGTTGCTTGTCGCTAGAAATCATCAAATGCTTGCGCTAAGCCGCACCATCAATTCGCATCATCATCATCATCACCATCATCATCAATCAATCAATCAATCATCAATGCAATGCAATCCAATCCAATCAATTCAATTCACATCACTTTAATTCAAAAATCAATTCAAATCAAATCAATCAATTCAAATCAAATCAATCAATCAATAATCATCAATGTAATTGTCTTTGTGACAATTACGATTAGGGGACGTACCCTCTTTTCACAAGCACAACCAGTCGGGTCGCGGCTTCACCATAGCCTATTTCCCATCACACGATCATCACACGATTATCCCGATGGTCCACAACCACAGCTTAACCATGGTAACTGCTACGGATATTGCTGCGCAATCTCAGCTACCACTTAGCAACTATACCCTGTCGCCGATCGATTGAAGCCATTCAGGCCATACCACTCATATACAAAGGACGAAAGGATGAATCATCCCATGTCACAAAAAATATAAGTCAACATTATCTCTAACCATGATCAACATTGATCAACATTGATCCACTAAATGTATATAACTGACCGTGATCACCTCCATACGCATAACTATATCAAAATAAACAAATTATGTATATATAAATATAAATATATAAAGGTTTTGGCTCCGACGGTGGCCGTGAGTTTCCCCTCACGTCCATCGTTCAGCAAATCCTAAGGGCTTGCGTTGCCGTCACATGGGCAGCCGCTTGCTCGCCTTGGTCTTCAGCCTTGGCTTTGTCACGTTTTGGGCGACATCGAATCCAGGTGAAAGAGCCTTCCTGGCATCGCAACCTTCGCCGTCGGCGGAGCTGCATCCGTGCCCGGCTCAGGTGGGCCACTGGATTCAAGTTGGGACACCGAAGACTGCGAACCGTGAAAGGGTATCTCTGGATCTTGAGACACCATCACACGTGGAACGCAGAGGAGTATCTACAACGAAAGATGTCGCAATCCAAACAAACATGGCATTGCCGAGAATGCAACAGACCCAATTCGCTCAAGTCCGATTATTGTCAGGGGTGCCAAAAGCACTGGACAGCAACCTGGCAAACAAAACGAAGATCGGGCAGCCGCACCAAATCGCAAGGGCGGCAAGAAAAGCAGGTGGACAAGAAGAAGACAAAGGACCAGCACAAGGCAGAGACCGACGCCGAGATCTTTTCCGGAAGGGCACCGTGGATCCCGACGACGCCACACACGAGGCTGGTCACCAAGTCATCAGAGCCACCCCAAGAAGAAGAAGGTCAAGGAGGAGGACTACCACCACAACCGGTTATGCCTCCCCCACCGAGCGCACCGCAATCCAAGGAAGGGCTCAAGGCGGACGAGGCCAAGCTCCTCACACACCTTCGAGCATTGGGGAACCTGGGATGCGACTTGCCATTCGATCTCCAGCAACAAATGGCAGCCTTGGAAGAAAGAGAAAAGGAGTCAGCACCGGTGCTCTCCCATGGGCACCTAAACAAGCTGCGCAAACTCCAAACTCAATTGCAGACCCTTGCCAAACGGGTTGCACAGGCAGACGCAGAATGGCAAGACTTTCAGAAAAAGGTCTTGCAGAAATTGCAAGACCATGCTGGATGGTACCAAGAGTATCGCATGGGCATCCTCGACCAGTACAACCAGAAGGCGAAAGAGCTCGAATTGGCACGCAGAGAGGTCTCCCAGGCCTCCCAGATCCTTGCCGAGCAGGTCAATCAGGCACCTCAGCTCCCGCCGCCTGCGGATACTGTGGGGGATGTAAACAGAATCGCAGCAGCAGCTGCCAGTGCCGTCCCATGCATCGCCTTGGACGACGCAGAAGAGGACGACGAGATGGACGAGATCGAGCCACAGGACGAGGAAGACGAGATGGACGAGGTCAACCAGGCCAAGAACAGAACTGGCCGAAGACCGATCAGGCCTCAAGCCTTTTCGTCAAACCGATCACCCACGAAGGTGGCTCAGGCGCATCTCAAGCCGAAGGTGGAACCGAAAGGAGACAGCAAGAGCAGCCATGGCAGTGGATGACTTGTGACCTTGAGGCCAGCTTCCCACTCACAGCGCCATCAGTTCGTCTGGATCGCAAGATGGAGGACGTGCTTCCATGGGCGCCAAGGTGCAAGCTGCGTCGATCTTGCCTCAAGCAGTCGCCATCAGGACCGCCAAAGTCAGTATCATTTCATGATGAGGTTTGTCTCAATGTTCTCTGGGGTGAGAACAGTGCACAGGTACAGACCCGCATTGAAGTGGCACATCAACAGTTTAGGACTCTGTGGTACATGGATGGTCAGACTTGCTCTCAAGAGAACTTCACAGAGATAGTTAAACGATGGCAAATCATGCGTAGCTTAGGAATTGCATGGGGTTCTGCGCTTCCTTCGCCACATTCGCCTGATGCATCCGACATCGCTTCGGTTTCTGTGACGGCCCGCAATCAGTGGTTTCAAGTGTCCGCTCCCATGCTCTTTTGTGGGCTTCGAGAGTGTTGGGATGAATACGTTGACACTGTGGCCTCGACTCAGGTTCCGCAATCACACTACATAGAGACCTGGTATCTTCACCATGGCAGAATCAGTCTATGTGATCGGTCTAGGAGAGTTTTAGTTCGCAGAGACATGTCCATGCAAGAGTTTCAATCCTCAGTGTCGACAGCATGGATTGACGTGATTGACAACACGCTGCCTGCGAACTCTCAGGTTGTTAGACCCACCCCGGCCACCTTTCGCTCATCTGTCTTGCACGTGATGGTCACTCAGGGAGATGAAAGTGAACACGGAGGTGTCTTGATCAGATGCGAATCCTTTTCTTCCATACGCAAGCATCGGGCAGTTTCGATCAGGCAGGGATCCAGTGAGTGACGTTTTCAATGTTGCACAGTATGGCCACCTCTGTCAACAGAGAAGATTTCCATGTGTCATCAGTAGCCCTCACGCATATGGGGGCAATCTCATGTCTGAGGAAGTCTTCCCGGTCGTTCATGGTTCTTTGGTAGTGGGTTCTTTCATGGACCTTGGGGACATCATGAGTGACACAAGCAATGGTCAAGATGAATGGTCCGATCAGGACACGGACGTGCCCGAAGAGGCGCTCTCCGACACCTCAGAATCGGACGTTTCCGCTGTACAGGAGGAGGATGCGGCTTCCCCTCTCTCCGATAGCAGCGTGGCACGCCCTCTCATGTGGGGGGAAATCCCTGTCGACTTCCTTGTCGAAGACGTATTTGAACCAGCTGTCAACAGCTGGTCTGCTCAAGAAGCTGAATTTGTCAGCCTCATGCAAGGACAGAGAGGAACATCATCAGCGCACACCGGTGAGCCCCAAGAGATTTCAGTTCAAGATGGCCTGCCCCCGATGCATCCGGCAGTCCAATGCCTGAGCTCCCATCTCGAAGCGACACAGGCTTCTTTCCCTGTTGAGGTTGTCACCTGGTGTGTCTCCAGTACCCACCCGGTCTGTGGGCATCCCATCCATGTTCAGTTGTCAGAGGACCGATGTACGTGGGAAGAAACTCTGGTCATGGCCTGGTTCGACATTCTCAGTGTTCAGAGTGCATACGTCCTAGAGATCTGCCTGGTTGACTCAGAACAAAGGACGGCCCCAGCCACCAGTCCCCACGTCCTCATGAGGCCGCAGGACACAACTGGAGAGTCCATGTCACTGGTCACCACCCGACACACTGATGGAACGTTTTCCAGATGCCTTCATTTTGCTCATCCTGCGGAGTCAATTGAACAGCTGGTTCGCAGAATTGATCGACACGCCAGTGACAGTCATTGTGTAGATGTGCACAATGACCAAGGCAGACCGCCCCCTCCGTGGGGCTCTCAAGTCATTGTGCATCACTCTCATGCCAGGAGCACCAGTGACATTTCTGACAGTTTTGACTCAGTGACGCTCATGCAAAGGCCTCGATCACGGTCACCAGCCCGTGCTGCAGCCTTGTCCAGGCACCAGCCCACCGAGGAAGGAGACCCAAATCAGGAGGAAGACCCAGAGGAAGAGGACTCAGGATCACCAGACCCAGCGGATGCGCCTGATGATATGGTTGAATGGCACATTCTATATGCTGACATGCCAGTGGAACCCATTCCCATTCAAGCTAGCCTTGAGGGTCCCTCGGTGTCGCAGGTAGCGCAGGCCATCCATTTTCCTGTTGCCTCAATCGCCCAACTCTATGTGGTTCATTGGCTCTTTGATTCCTTTCGGGACTATGTTGTCTTAGTTGAACTTCACGAGGATAGGGTTGATCACTCGAGAGACGCCATTATCCTGTTTGACGTGCATTGCCTCAGTGACCCGGAGAACGCCACTGAAGACGCAAATGTGGAAGAGCCTCACCTTTTCCATTCTTTGCACATAGGTCGGCAACAGTACACGTTTCAGACGCTGCTGGGGGCGACTAGGCTCACCAGGCTGCAAAGACTCCACCCCGACTGCATTCGTGTTTTCCACAATGGGGAGCTTTGGCAACCGCAGGAGTCAGCACCCCACCATATAAACAATGGCGACCATATCGAAGTTGAAATCGCCAACACCAGAAATGGACTGCACACAGTGGAGCTCATTGAGTGGCTCCTGGATGAAGGCATTGGCCCCTGGCCGTCGCTTTTCCAAAACCCGGATCCGGACGTCATTTCTCCGACTCTCCCCTTCAGCATCCGCCAAGAGATTGAAGATGAAGTGGGTTCAGTCTACGAATGCCAACCGCATCCGGGCCCCCAGTTCTCTGGGATTGCATTCAACAGTTGGTATGTGTCGCATAATCGACATGTCTCCTGCACTGAAAGCAGAGTGCTCATCTTCTCCCAGCAGCAAGCCTCCTGGAAAGAAGCCATTGCTCGAATCTGGGAAGATAGATTTGACCGTAGCAGACCCTATTCCGTCTCATGGTGTATGCCAAGACCACCCCAGACTGGAAGGCCTGAATATGACGCCCTACCCCATGTGATCGTTGAGCAACAACATGCTAGAGGTAAAGCCGGAGTACTCTTAGCCACGAGTTACGTAGACACTGCCCCTGGCACTGTTGATCTCATGGCAGTGTCAGCACCTGATCTGATGACAGCAAACACAGCATTTGAGCTTGCCTCTGTTGCGAGTGATTGCCAGCGGGATCGTCGCTGCACCGCGTACCATGAAGACCGCAGGTTGAACGACCATGAGCTCGCACACGCTCCATCAGGTGCTGTGATCACCATTCAGATCGCAGGACGGGCCAACAGTGCGCAAGGAAACGGTGACGCGGTTTCCTTCATGCAGTCACCCCCCTCAGCTCCGTTGATGTGCCCAGACACTGGGGGGAGTCAAGATAACTCTGTGGATTTGGAAGTGCGTGGGAATTCTGCAGGTGAACAATATGGTGACCCGGCGAGCGAGTCCCCAGATATCAACTCCTTGGCCTCATTGAGACAGTTACATGGCATGTTTGCACTGCCCATACAGGGACCAGCCAGAACGGGAATTGTTGCCACCTACTACCTCTCCCCGGAGAGACTTCGTAGTTGTGCATTTGCCAGACCTGTTTCTTTGGACCAGGATTTTGTGTCGTGGCGTGACAAGCTGGTTGAAGCATGGGAAGACATTGCAGAACGGCACGCCCCACACCAAATCCATGTTGTCACCCCGCTGCCGCACCAAAATGCGGGCAGCCCAGGATTTGTGGCCTTTGTGATCGTCACTCAGCATCTTCAGGCTTTTGACAGCACGGCCCTCTTCACAACTGAGGAAGATGGTCACTTCATTCACATGGCCTTCATCACCCCTACCCTCATGGACGAGAGCACAGTACTGGAGACGATCGGCTATCAACAACGTTGTGATCCCGCTCAGTCAGGCAATGCTTGCACAGTTCGCATCGGCCCCAGAGACGTCTCACATGGGGAGTTTGTGCGTGTCCACCAGGGTTGCGGAGTGCACATTAGAATCGCCAGCATGGAAGCAGCCGATGAATCTCAACTGTTGCAGACTGGGATCACACCTCCTCTTTCGCCCAGGAACAAGAGGCAAATTAGCATTGCTGACTCCTTGAATCTCAGCTGTGAAGTATTCTTGCTGCTGATCGACGCCAACGGCCTCTTCTCTGAGTCGTGGGTGAGCCCACAACGCCTCCAGGAGCTACAGGACCGTTTTCCATCCGGTAGGAAACTTCAATGGGAAGAAAAGGACCGATCGCACCTTGTGCTCGAAATCAGGCCTAACGGTGTCACATATGTCTTTCGCCCACTGAAATCGGAGCTCAATGATGCCACTGAGACACATTGCTTTCACTCGCCCAATCAGGACAAGTGGGATGAAATGACGATGTTGTCCAAACTTTACAAAGTGGATCAACACAGGGCTGTTCTACACGCTCCTTCTCTTGAAAGTGCTTCTGGCATCAGTCTGTGGTATTACTCCCAGCAAGATCCCACCCTGGAGAAAGCACCCAAGATTGATAAGGAACCCACTCCATGGCCGGAACCGCAGCCTGTTCCCACTGTGCATCCGACCTCGCTTCGCTGTGTCCAAGCTCCATGCGATCCAGGCATTCAGATTAAATTGCCTTGCAGTTCCAAAGTAGTCAAGGACATTGTCGGTTCGAACTGGATCACTCTGACTACTAGCACAATGGACTTGAACATTCCGGCAGAGTTCCAAATTCAAGCTGACCCCGGCGTCAGTTTCCAAGACTTTGACCGACTCCTCATCTTCACAGATGGGTCAGCAAAGGTAGAAGACCAGCCGACAGGCCATGACATGGGATGGGCCTTCGTGGTCGTCGGGGAGAGATATGGCACCCCTCCTGCATTTTTAGGTTGGTTGGGAGAACCTGTTTGCTCAGACTCGGCTTCTCCGAGACATATTCGGTCGTCATCCATGCATTCAACGAGGGCTGAAATTGAAGCATTGATCTGGGCGGCACAGTGGCGCCTCTCCCTCAACATGAACATGGCCACAGCGGTCCTCACGGACTCCATGGTGGGCAAACAGACGGCTCTTGGTGAAGTGGGCCATCATGGGAGCTGGGGAGGGACCCTGCTCCGTGGAGCCTACCAAGCACTAGAAGCCATTTGCCCGGGTCCGCTCCTTGTGGTGCAACACACACGTGGTCACTCGGGACAGTACTGGAATGACATGGCAGACCAACTTGCGGGATGGGCTCGTAGGCAACCACATCTCTCGAGCAGTATTAACCCACCGCACAATGCTTGGCAAATGCTGATTCCGCACTTGTGGCTGCTTCTACGTGGTAACATTGCCAGCATCATGGAGGCATCGGATCGTATCTTCGTCAGCCAGCCCAGGTTCCCAACATCCAGTGTCCCTGAGGAGTCAGAAATTGGTGTTCCTGTGTCAGCCACTATCGACCTCAATGTGGCTACTGGTAATGTGCAATCGCTCTACTCTTCCCATGCGGGAGGAGCAGGCAAGATCGCTTACCTTCAGGACCAGTTCAATCACGCTCAGTTGCACATGATTGGCATTCAAGAAACGAGAGGCACTGATGGCTGTTGGGTCAACAAACACTGGATCCGCATTGCCGCATCTGGTGACAAAGGGAACCATGGTGTCGAACTATGGGTCAACCGCCAGCTTCCGTATGGCACATCGGAAGGTGTTCCTCTCCATTTTGAGAAGTCGCATTTCGCAGTGGTCGCCAAGGACCCACAGCGCCTCCTTGTCAGGGTGGAGGCTCCGGGAGTCCAGCTCTGGGCCTTTGTGGGACATGCCCCTCACGGAGGTTTGCCAGAACATCAGAGGGAACAATGGTAGCAGGATACTGTCAGCTTGATTCGTCAGCACCAAGCGCAGAACCACTGCATTTCGTTTCTCGATGCCAACGCTACGTCAGGGGAGGCCTTCGCTTGGCATGTCATAGAAACGCAAGAAGAGCCAAACCACAGCACTGCATCCTTGCATTCGTTTCTGTCGGGCACAGGTTCATGCCTTCCAGCTAGTGACTCCAGACTTGGACCCTATGAAACCACATGGGTCAGTCCAAATGGCCAACATGCGAAGCGTATTGACTTCGTTGCCGTCCCCTTCCAGGAGCTGTATAAGTGCACTGAGACTTTCACAGGACTTGGGATTGATCTCAATTTTCACTCAGCTGATCACTCTCTCACAGGGGTGTCCATGCACTGGCTTGACCAATGCCCTCTTCAAGCCGGGTCCAGGAAGCAGGTTGGCCTCGATAAATCTGAACTTCTCAAACCAGAAGTGTTAGGATCGGCCCTCAAAGCATGCCAGCATCCGCCGTGGGACGCCGACATCGCATCTCACCACTTCATTGTCAACAAGCAAATTCGTGACTGCATGCATCGTGCGGCACCCTCCAAGCCCCAGGGGCCCAAGAAGTCGTTCATTACTCCAGAAATCTGGCAAATGAGAGCTGACCTTAACATCATGCGACGCAGATGCAGAGAGCAGCGACAGTCACTGGCGAAGCGCCTGTTGGCTGTGTGTTTTCAAGCATGGGCCTCACCCCGTTTGGACTTTGGGGATGCAAGTGACTGTGACTGGACTTGTCTTCTCCCACAAGTTGCTGGTATTCACAGCAAGGCCCGACAGATAAAGAAACACATCAAGAAAAGCAAACTCGCAGGAGTAGAGCAGGCGGTGGCCAACTGTCTACCCCAAGCGTCAGCGTCAGACATCTTACGCAGCCTTCGTCATTTCAGGGGGTCCAGCAATGCCAAGTTCTTTGGCCCACCTCCCTTACCAATGGTCAGAGACAGCTCCGGTCAGATGTGTGCCAGTCCGGAGGCCGTGCTGGACAGATGGATCGAGCATTTTGCAGCAATGGAGGGTGGACGCCGACTTCCACATGGCAGTCTACGCTCTCAATGGTGTGAATCCTTGCCACAATTTGCGAGCATGTCACAGTGTGATTTGGAAGACTTGCCCACGCTCTGCGGACTTGAGCACAGTATGCGCAGAGTCCGTCCAAGGAAGGCAACAGGTCCCGATCACATACACAGTGAAGCATGCCATGGCGCACCAGTTGCCATGGCCAACTTGTATTTCCCTCTGCTTGCCAAGACAGCACTATTTGGGATGGAGCCTTTGGAGTTCAAGGGTGGCAGACTCACCACTGCGTGGAAGCGGAAGGGACCGCAGCATGACTGCCAAGCACATCGGTCACTCCTCGTTAGCAGCCACCCGGGCAAAGCTTGCCATCGAACCATGAGGGACCTCCATGTTCACGCATACGAGGACGCTCTACATCCAGACCAGCTGGGTGGCCGTCAAGGCACCCCGGTGGGATTGGCAATGCATATTGTTCGTGCACACCACAGAGCCAACAAGGAGCTCTCACGCTCATATGCTACCATTTTCCTTGATCTTCGTGAAGCATTTTACCGCACCTTGCGTGAGCTAGCGCTTGGATCATCGCAGCCCACGCACCTTGACCAATGGGCCCAGAGCATGGGCATTGCTCAATCGGCTCTGCAAGAACTCAAACAGAGAATGCGAGGACCAACTGCCACCCAGACAGCGGGCTTTTCAGCTGCGCACCGCAATATGGTTCAAGCCCTTCACAGCAACACTTGGTTTGTCATGGATGGACAGGCTGATGTGGTGGCGACCTCGGTGGGTTCTCGCCCAGGTGATTGCTATGCAGACTGGGTTTTCAGTCTCCTCTTTTCCCAGGTCATCAAGGAATTGGAATCCCGTCTGGTCGCTCGTGGACTCTTGGACTTTGTTTGTCCCGAGTGCACCAGTTGTTGACCTGTCAACCACAGGGCCTCTTCCGGACTCCTGCCCGTTGGTGGGCCCGGTCTGGATGGATGATCTCGCCATCTGCCTTTCAGATGAGGATGCCGAGACCCTCATCACCAAAACGTCCAAGGTGGTCTCTGAGCTCCTGGACGTGTGCACTTCGTATGGAATGCAGCCGAACCTCGACAAAGGAAAAACGGAAGCCTTGCTCAGTCTGAGAGGGAAGGGAGCTGATCAGTGGAGAAAGCATCTCTTCAACAGGGGCGGAAAGCAATCCCTTGACATCGTCACTGAGGAGGGCATGGTTGCAGTGCACGTGGCAGCGGCATACAAACATCTTGGTGGAGTTGTCCACCACTCGGGAGAATGTGGACAAGAACTCCGTCAGAGGTTTGCTCAGGCACAACAGGCGTTCACGGAGCACCGCAAATTGCTCTTTCACAACCATCACTTCACTCTGTCACAGCGTACCAAACTCTTGGACACACTGGTGCTGAGCAAGCTACTCTATGGCACAGAGTCCATGGTGATGGTCAAGCAGCAGGACATCGACTACGCGGAATCAGCCCTATTCAGGCTCTACAAGCGCCTCCTGGGGACCCGACATGACCAGCATCTCGAGCGAGAACAGCTACTTGCTAGCCTAGAGCTTCCAGACTTCGCTCTGTTGCAAAGGCGTGCTCGCCTTCGCTATCTGGCAACGGCACTTCGCTGTGCAACTGGAAGGACCTGGGGAGTCCTAAGCATGGACGTGCTTTGGCGTCGACTCCTTCAAGAGGATCTGGATTGGATGTGGAAACATCTCGTGATGCTTGATCCTCTCCCAGACCCAGGCACTGATCTCTCGGCATGGCAACGGTTGATTACATCGCGGCCTGGTTACTGGAAGAAACTGGTCAATCGAGCTACCCGCTGCGCTGTTCTGCAACGCAAACATGCGCATCTAGTTCGTGCATTCCATTCGAGATTTTGCACCCGGCTCAGGGAACTGGGCGTGCTGGACTTCGATGACATGGAGCAGCAACACACGGCTTATGGATGCATGCAGTGTCGAGTTGGCGCCAAGTCCAAAGGAGGCGAAGGAGCACACATGTTTCGCATCCATGGTCGCAGAGCGCCCGAAAGGTTCCTTTTCGACTCAACATGCTGCCCAAGCTGCCTCAAGGAATTTCACACTGTGACCAAGATCCAAAGACATCTGCATCACTCCCGCAAGTGTCGCGAGTCACTGCGACGTCTCCCTGGACATGAGCCCCTTCCAGAGCACGATGAGCTCCTCCCAAGCCTCCAGACAGCCGGCCCCAGAGCGCAAGAGATGGCACCGGTTCAATGGGCAAATTGGTCCTTCATCGAAGACGTGCTCATGGTCTTACACCCTGATGGCAACGAGGACAAGACACTACAAGACATCAGGAGTGACCTTGAGAAAACCATTGCCAGCCACCCCATTGCTTGGAGCGACTGCAAGGCTTCGTTTGAGATAGTGCGCAGCGAGCTACAAGCCCAAGACCAAGGAAGCAATCATGTCATGATAGCTGAGTGCCTTCAGCTTCTTGAGGAACTGTCTCAGCCGGGAGCATGGCCTTTCCTGGTCAATGGTCGTTCAGTCCCCTTGCGAGCCAGTCAGCGACCCTTGGAAGATTGGGACCACATCCTCGAGCACAACATCCGGGAGCAGACATCACCGTGGTCGGGGCCTTCGAGACCGTTTAGTAAGCACAGGGTTATCCTGCACTTATTTTCAGGTCGAAGACGCTTCGGAGACATGCAATGGTTCATGGAGCGCATCCCGGAGCAACCGGGTACCACGCTTCACATCATCAGCCTGGACCTCATATTCCACGAGAAGTGGGGTGACCTCTCGAGGGAGGAGACTCAGCGCTGGTGGATAGATGCTCTACGACGACGATGGGTGGTGGCTATGTTGGCGGGACCTCCTTGTTCCACCTGGTCTCAAGCCAGGGGTCGACATGTTGAAGGCCGCAGGACTGCCCCCAGAGTCATTCGCACGGCTGATCAACCGTGGGGCATCGACACAGTTGCTGTTCGAGAAGCGCAGCAACTTATTGAGGGGTCCACACTTCTCCTTTTTTGTGTGGAAGCAGCACTGGAGTTGTGGCATGCGCATGGCGCATGTATGATTGAGCATCCGGCGACCCCTGATGAAGTTAGCAAGGCCAGCATCTGGAGGACGAAACCGCTCTGTCTTCTTCGTCAACTCCCCGGATGTGCCCTTCAGACTCTGAATCAGGGCTTCTACGGAGCCAAATCCCTCAAGCCCACGCAGGTCCTCACGGTCAACCTCAGCTGCTTTTCGGAGCAGTTCCGGCAGTGCAGAGTGACCAGCACACCTCCGACGAGGACCAGCATCGGTGTGTCCAAGACGGGTGAGTGGCACACAACGGGACTCAAAGAGTACCCACCATGTTTCAACATTGGCATTGCTAGGACGTTTGCACAGTTTCTCCAGGCATTGCCATATGATGAGTCTTCCCCAAGTGAACAGTTCTGGCAAACGGTAGCCCCTATGAGAGCAGGCTTCTCACGCTCCATGGGCTTGGACCACCAGATCAGGGGAGACGCTAATTAGAAGCGATGCAAGACTGCCGCGGCGAAAGCCTCTACAAGCAGGAGGTCAAAAAAAATAAATATATAAATATATATAAATATATATAAATAAATATATATATATATGTTCATATATATATATATATACAAAAACCTATAGTAACTATGATCAACTCCACCAGCTGAGCTCCACCGTGGCACCTCCACCGCTGTGGCACTCTCTCGAGCGGATGGGCTGCGCCCGGGTGGACGGATCTGCCAGGTTGACGGTCCACAGGTCCCGGTCCAACCTCCGAAGATCAGCGAGAGGATTAGTAGATGGGTAGTGATGTATGGGTAGTGATGAGTGGATGATTCCAATGATTTATTCAGAAGTCGAATATCTGATTTTATGCTTCGAATTGATTTAAGACTAACTCAAAAAGGGGTTTCCTGAGATATAACATGATATAGCCATGGTAGATGTAAGCCTAATAATTAAGGTGGATGGACTCAAGCCGAAACAACTCCGTGGCTTACGAGTTACAATCCATCGGGATGTACATCTAACCCAGCAATGGCTGTCGGGTACGATGAGGGTCAATCATAGCTTCAGCTGACCTGCTGACCTCGGAAATCCCCTCGGGTTTCGATGTTGTGTGGATCAACTGGCGCAGTTTAACCATAGGAATTTGATTCATTCTGTTTCGATTTGTTGTGAAAAAGGGGAGGGTAGGGGAGGTTATGGGAGGTTATTGATCTGGATTCCGCAGCAACTTGTAGGATACCGCTAGTGGAACAGTCTGGCCAACTGGCTTTTATGACACTTGCCTAGGCCACAATTTTCTCGGCACATTTGGTTACCATGGTGGCTTGAACCAATGTACCAGATCGTCCAGTAACCAATTTTGACCAAATTTGGGTTAAAGGTTGCCCTGGGCATTCAAGGGAGTGTCCATTTAGATGTTGTCGAACTTGGGCCTTGTTGCCAAATTCTTGGATCATCATGGTAACCTATGGTAACCTGGCAGGTTTGGTTGCTGAAATGTCAGGAACAAAGATCTGCTGGCCAGTCGCCATCCACCGGGACGTCCACCCAGCGGTCCCGTGTAGCGCCAGAAGTCGTTCTTCAGCCTCCATCAACGGTGCCACCAAAGATCCACATCCCACAGGATGGACGGCCGTGTGCCACTGTCCTCGGCAGCTGACAGACCGACAAGCACAACAAACTGCAGCAAGTGGTTTTTGTCGTGCAACGCAACCACCAAGAACTACCATCCACAATCCGACAATCCAACAAAGTCATAACAACTAAGTTCTAACAACTTCTCCAACTTCTCCAACTTCCGCGTGTCCCTCCGTGCGCACCTCGGCACCACGGCCTCCGCAGCGCGGCCGCGTCCAGCTCGCGCGCCACGGCTCCGCTCGCCACGAAGCGCAGGGCCCGCGCGGAACACCGCGGCGGACCAGGTGGACCTGGGGCGTCTCCGTGGCCAACGATGTGAAGTGGCGTGTGAGTTGCGTGTTCGGCGAGATTTGATGGTTGACAGTTTGCGAAGTGTTGCGAATGAGTAGAACTAAGAACTACCTTTTTGCAACTCCTCACATTATGGGTAGGACTTATCCCAGCAACCTGTACCGGATAGATTTTAACAACCACCTGGTACTGTTTTCCAGATGAACCTGTCAAGTTGTGTTTCCGGTAGCCTGGCATCGCGATAAACTGTCTGTCGTTGAATGCCATGCTTGGATTTATCGTGTTTCAAGTCATGATGGATACCCATCACCAGAATCACCTTGTCTTTAGGATACATGCGCTTTAGAATCACCACATGTCATCTGGCGATGACTGTCATTCCAATGACATTTTCTGGCCGCGGCACACGAGGCATTGAGCTGTGAGAACTTCATCAAGGTCTGCGGTCCTCCGGTAAGAATTGGTTGGATGATCAGCTGGTAATGTTGCGGTCATGATTCTGATTTCAGAGGATGAGAACCAGCAATAATACATGATAGAATACTTTTTGGTGGTTTAAAAACTTTTGCATTGGCGCCCTTTCAACCGTGATGTGTGTAACTGCTGTGGATTTCAAGCCCCCTTCAGTGGACAGCCCAGGTCAGTCTCCAGTCTGGATAGCTTTGAAGCTGTTGCGAATGAGTAGAACTAAGAACTACCTTTTTGCAACTCCTCACATTATGGGTAGGACTGATCCCAGCAACCTGTACCGGATAGATTTTAACAACCACCTGGTACGGTTTTCCAGATGAACCTGTCAAGTTGTGTTTCCGGTAGCCTGGCATCGCGATAAACTGTCTGTCGTTGAATGCCATGCTTGGATTTATCGTGTTTCAAGTCATGATGGATACCCATCACCAGAATCACCTTGTCTTTAGGATACATGCGCTTTAGAATCACCACATGTCATCTGGCGATGACTGTCATTCCAATGACATTTTCTGGCCGCGGCACACGAGGCATTGAGCTGTGAGAACTTCATCAAGGTCTCCGGTCCTCCGGTAAGAATTGGTTGGATGATCAGCTGGTAATGTTGCGGTCATGATTCTGATTTCAGAGGATGAGAACCAGCAATAATACATGATAGAATACTTTTTGGTGGTTTAAAAACTTTTGCATTGGCGCCCTTTCAACCGTGATGCGTGTAACTGCTGTGGATTTCAAGCCCCCTTCAGTGGACAGCCCAGGTCAGTCTCCAGTCTGGATAGCTTTGAAGCTGTTGCGAATGAGTAGAACTAAGAACTACCTTTTTGCAACTCCTCACATGATGGGTAGGACTTATCCCAGCAACCTGTACCGGATAGATTTTAACAACCACCTGGTACTGTTTTCCAGATGAACCTGTCAAGTTGTGTTTCCGGTAGCCTGGCATCGCGATAAACTGTCTGTCGTTCAATGCCATGCTTGGATTTATCGTGTTTCAAGTCATGATGGATACCCATCACCAGAATCACCTTGTCTTTAGGATACATGCGCTTTAGAATCACCACATGTCATCTGGCGATGACTGTCATTCCAATGACATTTTCTGGCCGCGGCACACGAGGCGTTGAGCTGTGAGAACTTCATCAAGGTCTCCGGTCCTCCGGTAAGAATTGGTTGGATGATCAGCTGGTAATGTTGCGGTCATGATTCTGATTTCAGAGGATGAGAACCAGCAATAATACATGATAGAATACTTTTTGGTGGTTTAAAAACTTTTGCATTGGCGCCCTTTCAACCGTGATGCGTGTAACTGCTGTGGATTTCAAGCCCCCTTCAGTGGACAGCCCAGGTCAGTCTCCAGTCTGGATAGCTTTGAAGCTGTTGCGAATGAGTAGAACTAAGAACTACCTTTTTGCAACTCCTCACATTATGGGTAGGACTGATCCCAGCAACCTGTACCGGATAGATTTTAACAACCACCTGGTACGGTTTTCCAGATGAACCTGTCAAGTTGTGTTTCCGGTAGCCTGGCATCGCGATAAACTGTCTGTCGTTGAATGCCATGCTTGGATTTATCGTGTTTCAAGTCATGATGGATACCCATCACCGGAATCACCTTGTCTTTAGGATACATGCGCTTTAGAATCACCACATGTCATCTGGCGATGACTGTCATTCCAATGACATTTTCTGGCCGCGGCACACGAGGCGTTGAGCTGTGAGAACTTCGTCAAGGTCTCCGGTCCTCCGGTAAGAATTGGTTGGATGATCAGCTGGTAATGTTGCGGTCATGATTCTGATTTCAGAGGATGAGAACCAGCAATAATACATGATAGAATACTTTGCGTGGTTTAAAAACTTTTGCATTGGCGCCCTTTCAACCGTGATGCGTGTAACTGCTGTGGATTTCAAGCCCCCTTCAGTGGACAGCCCAGGTCAGTCTCCAGTCTGGATAGCTTTGAAGCTGTTGCGAATGAGTAGAACTAAGAACTACCTTTTTGCAACTCCTCACATTATGGGTAGGACTGATCCCAGCAACCTGTACCGGATAGATTTTAACAACCACCTGGTACTGTTTTCCAGATGAACCTGTCAAGTTGTGTTTCCGGTAGCCTGGCATCGCGATAAACTGTCTGTCGTTGAATGCCATGCTTGGATTTATCGTGTTTCAAGTCATGATGGATACCCATCACCAGAATCACCTTGTCTTTAGGATACATGCGCTTTAGAATCACCACATGTCATCTGGCGATGACTGTCATCTCTCTCTCTTCTATTTGTAGCGCTGCGCACGACCATTGTGATTCTAACTTTGTTGCATCCCAATTCATCATCCATCAGAGTCACAACACCTTCAGACATTCCAATGACATTTCCATGACATTTCCTGGAGTCGAAGAGCACGACTGAATCGATCTGCCGCGGCACGCGGGGCGTTGAGCTCCAAGGACTTCATCAAGGTCTCCGGTCCTCCGGTTGGAGCTGCCAGGAATGCGTGCGCCACAAAATGGCCACCTGGAGGCCCCCAAAACGTCTGAGTTCATCACCACTGGAGGTGTTAGTACAGATAGGTGAAGGTGTTTTTAGTTCTGGGAGGTGTTAGTCGCGGAGGTGGAGGGAACGTTTGGGCCAATGGATCATATTTGGATGCATTTGGGTCTCCTTGAAAGTTGTTCAAATTCAGCAAAGCTCGTGAAATCTGCTAGCAGACTGGAAAAGTGTGCCTCACTGAACTCCGAGAAGAGTCTTCGGTCAATCTAATGTGCATCTAATGTTTCTAATCACTCTTGATGGTCTGCAAGAACCAAATCGCACATGACAAAATTAATAAAACGCAACAAACTGGTGTAACCCCGAGTCACTGGTGGTTTCCCTATTGATAGTGGTTATTATTGGATGGTGATTGTAGGTACCACCATGGACAAACCCACATCATGGCATTTGCGTGATCAATCCCAGCAGCCACGTCCACAACTGGTGATTGTATCATGATTTGTGCGTTGTTTCAGCAATCAACGTTCTCAAGGGATATGAGGAACATAGCTTCTGTTGGAACATAGCCGTCATGTTACAATGATGTTTCTAACATCTGGTTCTCAAGGCACATCGCCATCATTCAACCATCATAGGAATGATGGAGTCATGGTCCACCATCACCGTCACGCTGGCTCCCAACAACGAGGCAGGGAGCTCCTTTCAGCCAAGGAGCTGCAGCGGTATGGATTCATTCCATCGTCCGAAGGGTGGGAGAACACCTGGCGCGGCCCAAACCATCAGCGATCACTCACCAACCACTATCTTCAACCATCAAAAAAAAAATCCCTTTGCTACCCTGGTCATGCAGAGACCCAGTGGGGAAACCACGACAGCTGGGCTACCAGGTACCGTGGCCGTAATCGCTGTTCACTATCCAACTGTCGAGATCGCTGGGACAAATGGTAGTGGTTGACCATAGTCATAGCCATCCATCATAGGCATCGACCGTCATTAAACAGCCCAAAAACTATGGAAAATAAATTGAAAAACTAGACACAACTGGGAGGCAAGGGATACCACAAATAGGACACAAGTGCAAAGAGCGCGGCAAACAAATGGAACAGAAAGGGGGAGACAAGTTTGAAAGTTACTGAGACAGAAGAATTTGAAAGTTACTGAGACAGAAGTTGGAGACGGATGAGCAGAATGCGCAAAAGACCTTGGAAAACCTTGGACAAATGGAGTCACAAAAGCTCTAACCCGGCAGCGAGGCTTGGCGAAAAACAGCTGTGGAGCAACTCAAAGGAGAACTCGTAAACTGTTCTCCAGGAACGGGACTGGAAGAAGGAAGAAATGGCTGCACTGTGTAGGTCGCTGCTCGAAAAAAAACGAGAAAGGCAGCACTGACGCAGACGCCATCGGACATGGGGAGAGCACGTGGAAACAATTACCTTTGAACGCACGTTCAGGGAAGAACCTTCAAAGCCGCAAGTTGACGGTTCTGTTTCCGCAGCCGAGCCCTTCTCACATCCATAATAGTTTTATCAACAAAATCATGAAACTTGCCAGATTTTTCAATTCGAACATTTGGACTCCATGAGACAGCTGGAAAAATTCTCGAAAAAGATGGCCTCATGATTGCCCCAAAACACTGAAAAGAATTAACGAAAGTTACTACATGAATTCCTGAAATTGGGAGACGCAAGACATGCATCAAGAAAGAAGATGAAATGAGGCACCTGCGTGCGACGAGCGTCAGCACAATCTGTGTAGGACGAGAAGGCTCGGCCCACCATGGATTGAATGCTCCATGCTGTGAGCGTGGAAAACTGCTCACGTTGAACAGCCGTTTTCCAAACCATGTCGCCCTTGTGATTCTTTTCTGCTACGGCAAATATGTCAAGGAAATTGAAACCACGGATGTCACTCTGTCAAGCTGTCGCAATCATGTTGAACAAAAACTTAACACAATGCTAAGTTCGACCTTTTGCCGGATCCATCTTTTTCATTTGATTCCTGGGCGGCCCACTCCACTAGAGTCTCAGTAGAAGCTTAGTCTGAACCCTTAGCGGCCAAGAATCCAATGATCCAATGGGCGGACGCTGCCAAGGACAGAGAAGGCGGACGCGACCGGCGCAAAAAAGGCCCCAACACCAAAGTGTACGTAATGAGAAGCGGGAGGTAAGCACAAAGAAATGTGTTGGGAAATGTTTTTCAGTGTACGTGAAGAGACATGCAAAAGAAGAGTTTCTGGAGGAAACACAATGACGCGCGCAAGAAAAGGTGGGCGCAACCCA